ATCAGAAAAAACAGCTACTAATCAAATAGTACTCTAAAAGGGGAATAATGTTCACGTGATTTCTGCTGTAAAATTAGTGTCTAGTTGGCAATATGGAGCTGTTAAGTGTATATTTGTATGTATAAAAGTCAAACAAATGATGAACAGTTAGGTACATAAGTAGAAATACTAAATATAAAGAAAATAGTATTTTAAACATATATTCTTACCTTTGAGGCTAAAAAGCCATTCTTATAGTCAAGCAATTGCTTTGGGTAGTCAAGATCGGAGGAGCTCATGTTGGTGTGAGATTCAGTGGTTTGGTCTGTCATCATAAGCTGCTTTGTATCTGCAGATATAATACTATAGAGGACTAAGCCAGGCTAAGACAGTTGATTCACCACCTGACCTAATTTGTGTAATGTGTCTATATGCTTCTTATCTATTGCATTTAAAGTCTTCAAACCCCGGCCAACTCTGACATTTCTCAAATACATTTAAAAAACCAGCATTTTTTTTTTTACTAGAAAATGACCTATAACCCATAAACAAAATATATTTTCTGAAAGCAAAGGCCATAGAGAATAAAATAGTTGTTGCATTTTTTTATGTCATGAAATATCTGCGCAGCAATTTTACAAACACAAATTTTCAGGAAAAAATACACGTTAAAGAATTTTAGTGCACACAAACACAATGTAACACCTTTTTTTTTCTTTACCAATTTGCACACACCCGTGGAATGGTGACAAACTATGGTGCATTCAATTATTCATTGTCAATGCTTTAAAATCCTTTACAGGTTTTCAGTTTAGAATTAAACAGTAGGTGTGGTGCTAGATCACTCTGGTGCTCCCAGTGATGCGTCACATGTGTGGTGTGATCATTTTTTACTTTTGCGCACGCGTTTGCATTTGCCTGTGAGCACAGAGGGACAGGGTGCTTATTATTTTTTTATTATTACTTTTGGAGAGGAGTGACTTAACCGAGACTCTCGGGATGCTACCAGCCATGGACCATGTCTCCTGATTACGAACCTGCCAGTTCCGGCGCCTCACGGTAAATCCGCCGCAATCCGTGCGGTAGCGGGCTCTGGAGCAGCCACCGGAGGTCCTGCGGCCCCTGCCTGACACCCGAGGAGGGGTGCTGGCGCTTTGTCCCTCCGGCGGAGCTCCGGCGGTTTGCGGCCTATGAAGCCGCGTTCTTTTCTGCCACTGCGGGCAGAACGAGGCGCCGCCCGCTCCGCCCCCCTGCCATCGGGCCCGCTCCTGGGGCAGTCTGTGTGCGGCCCCCTGGCCTCCCCATTGGTTCCGGGGATCACGCCAGGCCCGCACAGTCGGCATCAAGGCCTGGAGGCCTAGCATGGTGGAAGAGTGGCCCCGACAGGCCTGGAGGCCTATCCCATCTGCCCCCTTTGTATAGGGGGTTAACTGGTTGCCCTTGTGCCCCCTCTTGCGGGCCTCCATTGCGGGCCTTCATCGCTGCCATCCACCTGGCCTGGCTGTCGTGGACCCACACGCCCCACCTGTTGCTAAGATCTAGGGGCCTACGCCAGCACTGCCTGGGACTTCATCACCCTAAAGGACCAGAAACGAGCCTGCTTCCACGCCGCCAAACCCAGCAGATGACCTCAGCCTGGTGAGGCCTTCCATCGCCCTCCACGATGCAACCCTGCCCAGACCTGCTGAGCCCAACGGACGATCTCGACCTGGTGAGGCCTACCATCGCCTACCCCGGCACAACCCTGCCTCGACCCGAATCCCATCCGATGACCCCTGGAAACACCTCCACTGCAGACGTCCACCCCGCATCTCCTCAAGCCCAACAGACAATCCTGACCTGATGTGTCTGCCTACAGCACACAATCCGGGCGCCCACCGGTCTCCTGCCGCCCCAATCGACAGAGGGACCAGAAGTGAGCCTACTTCCACGCCACCGAACCCAGCAGACAACCCCAGCCTGGTGAGACCTACCATCGCCCTCCACGTCGCAACCCTGCCCAGATCTGCCGAGCCCAATGGACGATCTCGACCTCATGAGGCCTACCATCGCCCTCCACGTCGCAACCCTGCTTCCACGCCATCGAACCCAGCAGACGACCCCAACCTGGTGAGGCCTACCACGTTGCAACCCTGCCCGGACCTGCCGAGCCCAATGGACGATCTCGACCTGGTGAGGCCTACCATTGCCTACCCCTGCACAACCCTGCCCTGACCCACAGCCCATCTGACGCTTGACTACCCTTGACCACAACTGGCCGAACAGAACTCTACCCATCCTGTTCTTAAGCATGAGAACTCTTGTCACGGAAAGGTACAGCTACGGGATACGACACTACACGCCGACTATCTACAACCAAGCGCCCTGAGAGACTTTCCACCTCACTTGTCCGCCACTTCGTCTACCTCCCTAAAATGCTCACAAACAACTATACATCGTGCCCTCACTCTTCTTTCTCCCCTCTACGGCTCTCACCACCTCCTCCTGCTGCTCCACTCTCCCACTGCCCTGAATGCCACCAGTGGTAGAATCACACGCTCCTGTACATCCCGCTCCCATGCCACCTTTCTTCTTCTGCTCCTAACCACGGGGGACATCCTCCCAAACCCTGGTCCTCCTCCACCTCACTCACCCACAAGGCACCTACCTACTTCCATGAACTGCCGCAACCCCCTCAACCTAATACCGGTCCCCCTGCTCCCCAAAACCACCTCTCCGTTTTCGTGTGCACTCCTGAATGCCCGTTCGGTTTGTAACAAACTTACCACCATCCACGACCTCTTTGTCTCCCGCTCCCTCAACCTCCTGGCGATCACCGAAACCTGGATCCAAACCACCGACTCTACCTCCCTTGCAGCACTCTCCTATGGAGGTCTCACCTGGACCCACTCACCCAGACCCAGCGGTCGAAAAGGTGGTGGGGTTGGTATGCTCCTGTCACCACAGAGCACCTTCCAAGTCCTCCCAAACCCTCCCTCCCTATCCTTCTCCTCCTTTGAGGCCCACTGCATCCGACTGTTCTCTCCAATCCCCCTGAGGATCGCAGTAATCTATCAGCCCCCTGGACCCATATCCCGCTTCCTCGACGACTTCTCCGCCTGGTTACCCTTCTTTCTCTCCTCCGAGCTGCCCACCATCATCCTTGGGGACTTCAACATCCCTACCAACATCAATAGCCCAGCCACATCCCAACTCCTCCACCTAACCTTTTCTTTCGCACTCCCACAGTGCATACAGTCCTCCACCCACACCGACGGGAACACCCTGGACCTTGTGTTCTCTCATCTCTGCACCCCCAGCATCCTCACAAACACCCCTTTTCCCCTCTCTGACCACAACCTCATCACCTTCTCTGTCTCCTCGTCCTCTTACACTTACCCCTCCAAACTTCAAACCATCACCAGTTGAAAACTCCGCAACCTGGACCCTGCCCCCTTCCACTCTGCGGCTGACCAACTTTATGATAGTATCCTTCCCTCCTTCCCCTGTCCTGCCCTGACCTGGCCACTACTGTCTATAACAACTCGCTGTCAGCCACTCTTGACTACCTAGCATCCCTAACCACACAAAACATTAGACCCCGACCGCTTCAACCCTGGCAGAATGACACCAAAAAGCTCAAGCGACGCAGTCGCGCGCTAGAGCACCTATGGTGCAAAACCAGATCCCAGCAAGCGTTCACCCGATACAAATCTGCCTGTCAGGAATGGACTTGCCAATAGTGGTGGGACTCACCTGCCTTGTGGGCTGCAGTACCAGGGCTGGCCAGCGGGTGCTCTCAACAACCAGAGGCTCACTTCGGCAATTAGCCATCACCTGGGGCTGATTGCAGGTGGTGTATTTAAGGGATGGCCAGACCTGCAGTCTGTGCCTTGTTGTACTGTTTGCTTGGCCCTGGTTTCCTGATCCTGTTTCTGCTGTCCTGACGCTGCCTGAACTCTGCTTGTACTGACCTTGGCTAGTCCTGACCACTCTCCCGCCTGCTCCTGGTACTCCGTTTGCCCGTTTGTTACCAACCCGGCCTGCCTGACTACTCTTGTATCGTATGTTTGTTATCTGTTGGAGGTTTGGTTCAGTTTGTTTGCACGGTGTTGTTATGTTTAGTTTTGCACTGCATTTGTATTGTTAGCCTTAATAAATTATATTATTTACCATATATCTGAAGCCTACGTTTCCCTGTGTCAGTCCACACACTTCTGGTCACACCTGCATCCCTGACATTACAACAAGGCCATCCTGACCAGAAGTGGCTGCACAGGGAAGCCATCTTGGCTTGTTGCTGGGAAGGATGGATCTTGAGGAGGTTGTGTATTTGTCGCTGCTGGTTTTTGATGACAGAGAATATGCTTATCAGACTCTGAGGGAGTATACCCGGGATCAACTGCTAGAATGTATACGGATCGCTCATGTTCTAGTAGATCAGGGCACAGAGTTCTCTGAGGTGCAACCTTTGATTCAGGTTTGTGTAGAGTTGGCTTCATCTGGTACCCCTGAAAGCAGGAATGACTTTTTGCCACCATTTAGTGCAGACCAGGTAGAGTCCCTGGTATGGTTATTAGAGGATGATGTGGATTGCTTCTTGGAGCATTATGCGGCATGTTCACAACAGGTATTAAGGGATTGTATAAACGCAGTGCAGTCTTTGACCAGACAGGCTTTGTGTAAGCTGAGCTTTGTTCAACCCATACTGCAGACATGGTGAGACTTGTTGCACCCAGCCTCAGTCAGCTTACAACGTCATTCCTCCGCTCAAGGCACTCTTCCTGCATCCCCGACAGCACCCCCAGTGACGGCCCAGTATACTCTGCTAACTACCACATATCAGTCCTCTGCTCCCACTCGCTGCACCTATCCTTTCTTTAACCCTGTAAAGAAGTCCTCTGTAGCAACTGCTCCCTCCTCTGTTCCATCCTCCAGCTCTTCTCTGTCTTCAGCTGCTCCATCCGTTTACAAACCTGCGCTTACTTACAGTGCTCCGGTAACTAAAACCAGGAAAAGGCGAAAAATTCTTTCCAACCAATACCATCCTGCCAGTATCCAAACCGGTCAGCCTGCCATCTGAGAACCCGCCTTCCATGGTGCAGCCTGGTGCCTCGGCGCCCACAACTCAGCCTGATGTCTCTACCCAGCCTGATGTCTTTACCCAGCATGATGTCCTTACCCAGCATGATGTCCTTACCCAGCATGATGTCTCTACCCAGCCTGATGAACTGATCCAGCCTGATGATCCTATTATGCCAGATGCCCGCTGTCTTGCCAGTTGACTCGGAGCCCGCTGTTGTGCCTGGTGACTCGGGGCCCGCTGTCTTGCCAGACGACTCAGTGCCCGCGGTCTTTCCAGACGACTCGGTGCCCGCGGTCTTGCCAGATGACTCGGTGCTCGCGGTCTTGCCAGACGACTCGGTGCCCGCAGTCTTGCCAGATGACTCGGTGCCCGCAGTCTTGCCAGACGACTCAGTGCCCGCAGTCTTGCCAGACGACTCGGTGCCCGCAGTCTTGCCAGACGACTCGCTGCCCGCTGTTCCGCCAGTTGACTCGGAGCCCGCTGTCGGGCCGGTTGACTCGGAGCCCGCTGTTGTGCCTGGTGACTCGGGGGCCCACGGTCTTGCCAGATGACTCGGAGCCCGCGGTCTTGCCAGATGACTCGGTGCCCGTGGTCTTGCCAGATGACTCAGTGCCCGCGGTCTTGCCAGATGACTCGGTGCCCGCGGTCTTGCCAGATGACTCGGTGCCCGCGGTCTTGCCAGATGACTCGGTGCCCACAGTCTTGCCAGACGATCCAATGCCTGATGACCCAGTGCCCGCTGTCATGCCTGGTGACCCGATGTCCGCTGTCATGCCTGATGACTCGATGCCCGCTGTCAAGCCAGACGATCCAATGCCTGATGACCCAGTGCCCGCTGTCATACCTGGTGACCCGATGCCCGCTGTCGTGCCTGGTGACCCGATGCCCGCTGTTGAGCCAGATGACCTGGTGCCCGCGGTCGAGCAAGACGATCCAATGTCTGATGACCCGGTGCCTGCCGCTCCGCCTGGGGGCCCGGTGCCCGCCGCCCTGCCTGGGGGCCCGGTGCCCGCCGCCCTGCCTGGGGTCCTGGTGCCCGCCGCCCTGCCTGGGGGCCCGGTGCCCGCCGCCCTGCCTGGGGGCCCAGTGCCTGAGGGCCCGGTGCCTGCTGCTCCGCCTGGTGGCCCGGTGCCTGCTGCCCTGCCTAAAGGCCCAGTGCCCGCTGCTCCGCCTGGTGGCCCGGTGCCCGCTGCTCCGCCTGGTGGCCCAGTGCCCGCTGCACCGCCTGGTGGCCCGGTGCCCGCTGCACCGCCTGGTGATCCGGCGTCCAGCCTGATGTGCCTCCGTCCGGTGCCCAGCCCGACGTGCCTCCGTCCGGTGTCCTGTCCGAAGTGCCTCCGTCCGGTGTCCAGCCCGAAATGCCTCCGTCCGGTGTCCAGCCCGAAGTGCCTCCGTCCGGTGTCCAGCCCGAAGTGCCTCCGTCCGGTGTCCAGCCCAAAGTGCCTCCGTCTGGTGCCCAGCCCGAAGTGCCTCCATCCAGTGCCCAGCCCGATGTGCCAGTCTTTGATATCCCCCGAGTCACCGGACCCGGGCGGTGGAACATTCTGCCCAGCTAGGACTGTTTGGAGCGTCCTGAGGCCGCTCCTTGAGGGGGGGTAGTGTCAGGAATGGACTTGCCAATAGTGGTGAGACTCACCTGCCTTGTGGGCTGCAGTACCAGGGCTGGCCAGCGGGTGCTCTCAAGAACCAGAGGCTCACTTTGGCAATTAGCCATCACCTGGGGCTGATTGCAGGTGGTGTATTTAAGGGATGGCCAGACCTGCAGTCTGTGCCTTGTTGTACTGTTTGCTTGGCCCTGGTTTCCTGATTCTGTTTCTGCTGTCCTGACGCTGCCTGAACTCTGCCTGTACTGACCTCGGCTAGTCCTGACCACTCTCCCGCCTGCTCCTGGTACTCCGTTTGCCCGTTTGTTACCAACCCGGCCTGCCTGACTACTCTTGTATCGTATGTTTGTTATCTGTTGGAGGTTTGGTTCAGTTTGTTTGCACTGTGTTATGTTTAGTTTTGCACTGCGTTTGTATTGTTAGTCTTAATAAATTATATTATTTACCATATCTGAAGCCTACGTTTCCCTGTGTCAGTCCACACTCACTTCTGGTCACACCCGCATCCCTGACACTGCCTTCCTCACTTACACTTCCTCCCTCCATGCTGCCAAGCAAGCCTACTTTGTAACCCTCATCAATACCCTCTCCTCCATCCCTCGCCAGCTCTTCTCCACCTTCAATTCCCTGCTCTCTCCGCCCCCACCTCTACCCAGTACCTCACTTACCGCCCACGAGATTGCTAACCACTTCCAAAGCAAGATCGACGCAATTCGCAGGGACATCACCACTGCTCAGACTTCCACCCCACCTAGCATCCCTCACACGAAAACCCCCTAAACACTCCTCTCCTTCGACCTCGCCACTGTCCAGACCTCCAACCCGCCCAACATTCCTCACGCTAAAACCCCCTCAACACTCCACTCCTTCGACCCCGTTACCACCGAAGTGGTCACTAAGGTCTTCTCTGAAGCTCGCCTTACCACCTGCCCCTTGACCCTGTCCCCACACAAGATAGAGAGAAAACAGGTGGCGCACACACCTAGTGCATTATCCAAGGTTTATTGTAGGAATGAGATAATAAAAACATACAGACGAAGCATGTATCTAAAAAGCATAGAAAAATGACAATGGCCACAACGGCAGGCAAGGTGTTCTCACTGTCAGTGCGGTCAAATTGCTGACGCGTTTCGGGGACAAATCCCTTTCCTCAGAGCTGATGACCAACCTCTGATGCTGATGTATGATGTATGGACAGAAAGAGCCTCACTGTTGATGCCTGTCCCCACACAACTCCTACGAGCACCCTCCTCCTCCATCCTACGCTCCCTCACTCACATCTTTAATCTCTCCCTCTCTACTGGCACATTCCCCTCCCCCCTGAAGCACGCACACATCACTCCCATACTTAAAAAACCCTCCCTGGATCCCACCAATCTAAATAACCTTTGCCCATCTCCCTGCTGCCATTTTCATTCAAACTCCTTGAGCGCTTAGCCTATAATCGCCTAAGCTCCCACCTCACCGACAACAACCTCCTTGATCCCCTACAATCAGGCTCCGCCCCCTACACTCCACCAAAACCACCCTACTCAAACTCACCAACGACCTGCTAACCGCCAAAGCCAATGGCCACTACTCAGTGCTATTACTCCTCGACCTCTCCACGGCTTTCGACACGGTTGACCACCCCCTCCTCAAAAAAAACTATACTCTTTTGGCCTCAGAGACTCCGCTCTCTCCTGGCTCTCTTCCTATCTATCCCAACGCTCCTTCAGTGTTACATATAACGCTGCCACCTCCCCCTCACTTCCCCTCTCTGTTGGGGTCCCCCAAGGCTTTGTCCTCGGGCCCCTTCTCTTCTCCATCTATACCTACTCCCTTGACCAACTGATACACTCCCACGGCTTCAACTACCATCTCTATGCCGATGACACTCAAATCTATCTCTCTACCCCTCGCCTCACTCCTTCAGTCTCCGCCCAAATCACTAGCCTTCTGAACGACATATCAGACTGGATGTCACTCCACTTCCTCAAATTAAACGTTGCCAAAACTGAGCTCCTAGTTTTCCCACCAGCCCGCGCCCCCCTTCCCCCCCATCACCTCTCCTTCACGACCAACAACGCCACCATCAGCCGAACCACCCAAGCCAGAGTACTAGGTGTCATTCTAGACTCCAATCTGTCTTTCCAGCCCCAGATCCAATCGCTGACAAATTCATGCAGACTCCACCTCCGTAACATCTCCAAAATACACACGTTCCTAACTCCAGAAACTACAAAGCAACTCATTCACTCCCTTATCATCTCCCGACTTGACTATTGCAACTCCCGGCCTACCCCAACACAGGCTATCCCCGCTTCAGTCGATCCTGAATTCTGCGGCCAGACTCATCCACCTTACCAACCGCTCCTTATCCGCCACCCCCCTCTGCCAATCCCTCCATTGGCTTCCGATTTCCCAACGCATAAAATTCTAAATATTAACATTAACGTACAAAGCTGTTCATAACACTGCCCCAAACAACATCACCGACCTGATATCCATCTACCACCCAAAACGCACTCTCTGCTCCTCACTAGACCTCCTTCTCTCCAGTTCCCTGGTCTCCTGCTCCCATGCCCATCTCCAGGACTTCCCCCATCCTCTGGAACTCACTACCCCATCCATCAGACTGTCACCTTCCCTCCTCACCTTCAGGCGCACCCTGAAAACCCATCTCTTCAGAGAAGCCTACCCCGCCCTCAGCTAATTTGCTGATCTCCTCCGCTCTTCCCACCACTCCATCCCCCACAGCTATTTCCTCCTGTACCACTATCCCCTCCCTCCTAGATTGTAAGCTCCAAGGAGCAGGGCCCTCGAACCCCTCATGTATTGTATTGTATTGTTACTGTACTGTCTCGTGTACTGTCTCCCATTATAATGTACAGCGCTGAGCAAATCGTTGGCGCTGTATAAATACTGTATAATAATAAAAAAATAATAATAATTTATTTTATTTGAATGTACACTCACTAGCCACTTTATTAGGTACACCTGTTCAATTGCTTGGTAACACAAAATGCTAATCAGCCAAACACATGGCATCAACTCAATGCATTTAGGCATCTAGACGTGGTTAAGACAACTTGATGAAGTTCAAACCGAGCATCAGAATGGCAAGAAAGGGGATTTAAGTGACTTTGAAAGTGGCACGGTTGCTGGTGCCAGACGAGCTGGTCTGAGTATTTCAAAAACTGCTGATCTTCTGGGATTTTCACGCACAACCATTCTAGGGCTTACAGAGAATGGTCCAAAAAAGAGAAAATATCCAGTGAGCAGCAGTTGTGTGAATGAAAATGTCTTGTTGATGTCAGAGGTCAGAGGAGAATGGGCAGACTGGTTCGAGATGATAGAAAAGCAACAGTATCTCATGTCAATATGGACCAAAATCTCTGAGGAATGTTTCCAACACCTTGATGAATCTATGCCACAAATAATTAAGGCAGTTCTAAAGGCAAAAGGGGGTCCAACCTGATACTAGCAAGGTGTAATAAAGTGGCCAGTGAGTGTATGTATTTTTATACTGTGTTTTTATTTATTTATTTTGGATTAACTTTCTTGTTATCACAAGGGATAGCCAACATCCCTTGTGATAGTATGGATAATGACAGGTCCTCTTTACTGAGAGATCTGGGGTCTATTAGACCCCATATCTCTCTTCTGACCTCCAAAGCAGTTGATCAAACCAAATATAGATTTAATTGGCTGCTTTACGAGCCAGCAAAAATCCTTGTTGCTTCCGGTTCCATACACCTTAGAGAAGATTGGGGAATGGATAATCCTCCTTCTTCTCCTTGGTCAGGTGGCATGACTACCCACAGTGGTCCCTGGCTCCCCGGTGGGACAGGAGAGCCCAGGAACGGCGGAGTGCAGCGGAAGGAAGGGGGCCCCCTTCTGTACCTCCTAAAAGTGTTTGGGCGACTATCCAAATCCTTCCATTTTGTCATGTGTCATATATCTAAGCACCCCTTACCATCCAATGTTCTCCATTTACTAGTGCCCCAAATCTCCCTGTGTGTCAAACTCTAAAATATAAAATAATAACATAAATGTGTTTACAAATTTACAATGGCACCAAGATGTTAAAGTGTAAGGTCACCTTTTCAGAAAGAAGTGAACTAACATTGTACAACCTCACCTCCCCCAGTCACCGCTATACTTACCTCCATGAGTGATGAGCTGGGCTTGAAATCCCCACTCTTCTCTCTCTTCCATATGCAGCTCTTTCAGGACAGATCAGAGCAATTTTGATTGGTTAGCTCCAGAACGGAGCATTGCTGTGATTTGTCCCAGTATTGCTACAGAGAACAGGGAGAAAAGCAGGAATTTCAATTAACAGACCTTTGCACAGGCTGCATGGACAGTGACAGCTCATCACCCATAGAGGTAAGTACAGCAAGGAATGGAGAGGGTGTACGGTGTTAGTTTACTTTATAACTTTTTCTGAAAAGCCGACCTAACCCTTTAACCACTTGAGCTCCAGAGGATTTACCCCCCTTAATGACCAGGCCTCTTTTTGCTACACGGCGCTGCACTAATTCAACTGATAAT